GGGAGGGGTGATACTGGGGGAGGGAGGGGTGATACTGAGGGGGGTAAGGGGTGATACTGGGGGAGGGAGGGGTTGTTTTACTGGGGGAGGGAGGGGTTATGCTGGGGGAGGAGGGGTGATACTGGGGAGGGAGGGGTTGATACTGGGGGAGGGAGGGGTGACACTGGGGGAGGGAGGGGTTATACTGGGGGGGAGGGGTGATACTGGGGGAGTGAGGGGTGATACTGGGGGAGGGAGGGGTGATACTGGGGTAGGGAGGGGGTGATACTGGGGGAGGGAGGGTTATACTGGGGGAGGGAGAGGGTGATACGGGGGGAGGGAGGGGTGTTACTGGGGGAGGGAGGGGTGATACTGGGGGAGGGAGGGGTTATACTGGGGTTAGGGAGGGGTGTTACTGGGGGAGGGAAGGGTGATATTGGGGAGGGAGGGGTGATACTGGGGGAGGGAGGGGGTGATACTGGAGGAGGGAGGGGTAATACTGGAGGAGGGAGTGGTGATACTGGGGTAGGAGGGGTGATACTTGGGGAGGGAGGGGTGATATTGGGGGAGGGAGGGGTGATACTGGTTGAGGGGTGATACTGGTGGAGGTAGGGGTGATACTGGGGGAGGAAAGGGTGTATACTGGGGGAGGGGTGAAACTGGGGAGGGAGGGGTGATACAGGGGAGGGAGGGAGTGATACTGGGGGAGGGAGGGAGTGATACTGGGGGAATTGTGGGTCATGCTGGGGGAGGGAGGGGGTGATGCTGGCTGAGGGAGGGGTAATACTGGGGGAGGGAGGGGTGATGCTAGTGGAGGGAGGGGTGTACTGGGGGAGGGAGTGGTGATACTGGGGGAGGGAGGGGTGATACTAGGAGAGGGAGGGAGGGGTGATACTAGGAGAGGGAGGCAGTGATACTGGGGAAGGAGGGGTCATACCCGGGGAGGGAGGGGGTGATCCTAGGGAAGGGAGAGGGAGATCCTGGGGGTGGGAGGGGTAATCCTGAGACGGAAGGAACCTGGGGGAGGGAGGAATCATGGGGAGGGAGGGATACTGTGGGGAGGGGAGGGGGTGATATATGGGGAGGTAGGGAGTGATACATGATGAGGGAGGGGGTGATATATGGGGAGGGAGGGGGTGATACATGGGGAGGGAGGGGGTGATATATGGGGAGGGAGGGGGTTATACATGGGGAGGGAGGGGGTGATAAATGGGGAGGGAGGGGTGATACATGGGGAGGGAGGGGTGATACATGGGGAGGGAGGGGGTGATACATGGGGAGGGAGGGGGTTATACATGGGGAGGGAGGGGTGATACATGGGGAGGGAGGGGTGATACATGGGGAGGGAGGGGTGATACATGGGGAGGGAGGGGTGATACATGGGGAGGGAGGGGTGATACATGGGGAGGGAGGGGTGATACATGGGGAGGGAGGGGTGATACATGGGGAGGGAAAGATCCTGGTGGAGGGGAGACAGAAGTAACACATAACGGTCTGCCAAGAAGGGGTAAAGGGAGGGGTGTAGGGGAGGGGAAGGCAGGGGGAAAGGAAAGGGTTTGAATTAGGGAGTGGGCAGGGGAGGATGGAAATGGGAGGAGGTAGGGGAGGAGTGGAATTGGGAGGGGTCAGGAAAGGGATGGATTTGGGAGGGAGGAGGTGAGGGGTGGAATTGGGAGGGGTCAGGAAAGGGATGGATTTGGGAGGGAGGAGGTGAGGGGTGGAATTGGGAGGGGTCAGGAGAGGGGTGGAATTGGGAGGAGGAGGGGAGAGAGTTGAATAAGGAGCGGGGTAGGGGGTCAAATAGAGACAAGGAGGGTGTGGCATAGGCAAGGGAAGGGGAGGGTGTGGAAAAGGGAGGAGGAAGTGGAATGGGAAGGTGAAGGGGGACGAGGAGAGGGTGCAATAGGGACGGGGAGGGGGGAGGGTTGGAATAGGGTTGAGGAGAGGGTGGATGGAGAGGGGATGGGTGGGGGTGGATTATGGAGGGGGAGAGTGGAGGGGGTGGAATAGGAAGGGGATAGAAGAGGGTGAGGAGCGGATAGAGGGGGGTTGAGGGGGAGGGGGAGGGGTAGAGGTTTGGGTGGAGGGGTTGAGGGGGGGGGGGTCAATACATCAGCTTTAAGACAGCTGGTGTCAACTGTTCTTCTCTGACAGACTATCATGCAAAAGTTGAAATTGGATTCCCCCTCTCCCCTTCCCCCTCCCCCTCCCCTTCCCCCTCCCCTCCCACCCTTGCCTTACCCTACCACTCCTTCCCCAGCCTCCCCTCCCCCTCCCCCCTGTGATGCATTGTGGGTGTTAGTCACCTCACACCTCCTGCCCCTCCTCACCTAAATCTCGGCTCATCAGCCCATCAAAACTCTCATCTGATCAAAGCTATCAGCTTGTCAAAACTCTCAGCTTACCAAACCTCTTAGCTTACCAAACCTCTCAGCTTACCAAACCTCTCAGCTTACCAAACCTCTCAGCTTACCAAACCTCTTAGCTTACCAAACCTCTCAGCTTACCAAACCTCTCAGCTTACCAAACCTCTCAGCTTACCAAACCTCTTAGCTTACCAAACCTCTCAGCTTACCAAACCTCTCAGCTTACCAAACCTCTCAGCTTACCAAACTTCTCAGCTTATCAAAGCTCTCACCTTGCCAACCCTCTCAGCTTACCAAACCTCTCACCTTGCCAAACCTCTCAGCTTACCAAACCTCTCAGCTTGCCAAACCTCTCAGCTTACCAAACCTCTCAGCTTACCAAACCTCTCAGCTTACCAAAGCTCTCAGCTTACCAAACCTCTCAGCTTACCAAAGCTCTCACCTTACCAAACCTCTCAGCTTACCAACCCTCTCAGCTTACCAAACCTCTCAGCTTACCAAACCTCTCAGCTTACCAAACCTCTCAGCATACCAAAGCTCTCAGCTTACCAACCCTCTCAGCTTACCAAACCTCTCACCTTGCCAAACCTCTCAGCTTACCAAACCTCTCAGCTTACCAAAGCTCTCAGCTTGCCAAACCTCTCAGCTTACCAACCCTCTCAGCTTACCAAAGCTCTCAGCTTACCAAACCTCTCAGCTTACCAAACCTCTCAGCTTACCAAAGCTCTCACCTTACCAAACTTCTCAGCTTACCAACTCTCTCAGCTTACCAAACCTCTCACCTTGCCAAACCTCTCAGCTTACCAACTCTCTCAGCTTACCAAACCTCTCACCTTGCCAAACCTCTCAGCTTACCAAACCTCTCAGCTTACCAAACCTCTCAGCTTACCAAACCTCTCAGCTTATCAAGGTTCCCAAAACTCTAGCATTCTCAAATCACTCATTATACTATTTTCCCACAAAGCTCTCAGTATGGTTCCCAGAGCTCTTGAGAGAGAGCTTCAGCGCTCTTAACCTCTGTTACAAAGTTGCAACTTTGCAACTGCAGCGTTGAGCGACTCTTTCTCCCCAAACTTTTGCCAGTTTTAAGCTGAAATATGAGAAGCTGTGCCCCGGGGAGCTGTGTGAAAATGATATTCATTTCAAAGCTCAACATTATGACCCGAAAATTGTTTGCTGGGTCAGTTGTTCGCTGGTAGTTAATCCGCAGTACACAGCTGCTGTACTGGGTACACAGCCATGTGGCTGCTGTACTGGGAACACAGCCATGTGGCTGCTGTACTGGATACACAGCCATGTGGCTGCTGTACTGGATACACAGCCATGTGGCTGCTGTACTGGGTACACAGCCATTTGGCTGCTGTACTGGATACACAGCCATGTGGCTGCTGTACTAGGTACACAGCCATGTGGCTGCTGTACTGGATACATAGCCATGTGGCTGCTGTACTAGGTACACAGCCATGTGGCTGCTGTACTGGGTACACAGCCATGTGGCTGTTGTACTGGGTACACAGCCATGTGGCTGTTGTACTGGGTACACAGCCATGTGGCTGTTGTACTGGGTACACAGCCATGTGGCTGTTGTCATATCTGGAGTAAACCTGGAGGTTATTCAGGGTGGTCAACGCTCCCGCGGTCTGGTCCATTACCAGGTCTCGTGGTGAATCAGGAACTGATCAACCAGGCTGTTACTGCCGATCGCGACAAAAAGTCTTGCAGTTACAACTGGTGGACGGCTCTAGCTGCAAGTGGTGTCATGTGTAGGGTGACATAGGTCAACCCTACTGTCCAGGGCAGCAATAACTCGCACTTGTGAGAGATTTGGCTTCGGCTGTCATAAATACAGATTCTTCAACTGTTCGGCTCCTTGAAGTTGGCAGAACTGCCAGAAAGCCGGAATAAAAAAAATTATTGATTGCTGCTATGACGAAAAAACAGCTGCGATGAGCACTCCATTATTTGGAATGGACGACCATGAATAGGGAAAAGTTATATTTTGAGACGAGTCGCATTTTGAAGTACATGGTAAGTGGTCAGTGATAGACGGAGCAATGGTGAACTTTTTTGTAATGGAGACATTCAACATGTGCCAAAATACCCACCTAAGATGGTTTAGGGCAGTTTTACTGCTACAGACCATGGACGACTTGTTATTGTTAAGGGAATGATGAACAGTGACAAATATTAGGCAATCCTGGCAACTCGTTTGTTTCCCATTGTGGATAGAGACTTTCCTGATGGAGAAGACATTTTCCAGCAAGATCTTGTTTCATGTCAAATGCTGACATTCTTGCATGAGAGTGGGCTAAGAGCTCTTAATTGGCCTGAAACTCTCCTGACCTCAAACCAAATGAGAATCTATGGGCAATATCCAAACGCAGGATCGCGAAATATAACTTTTCAGCTCTGAATAAGCTAATTGCTGCTGCTATTAGGACCTGGTACCATGATAAATAACTTGCCAAATGTGTTCACAATTGGCTGATTCAATGCCAAAACGTGTAGCAGTGTTTATAAAAGCAGATGGTAGTCATATCTCTTATTAAATCAATTATCCATCATATCATTACTGTGCATTTTTCAAAAACGACATTAATTCTCCAAATAAATGTCTTATTTCATCACTGTCCCAATTAAGAGGGTTTTACGGTATAAGACGCGGTTGCCCTTAACCAGCAGCATCCCTATGACCATCTCAACCCTTCAGCCCAGCAGCTACCTACCAACACTTTGTAAACATACATATATTGTTGCTCTCTTCATCCTTAGTGACCCCCTCGCAGCCTTCCTGGTGACCTACTGGTGACCTCATTGACACTCAGGAGCAATGTTTCGCCTGGGAGGTGCTCGCCTGGACCCTGCTGAGGAGAGGAGACGAGCTCAGGAGGAGGAGCGCATGGCTAAGCTCATCGTGTATTCCAATATCGGCACCTTCCTGGCCACCATTGGTCTCATCAGAGCAGGTCAGTACCTCTACCTGGTCAGTACCTCTACCTGGTCTTATTAGACCTGGTCAGTACCTCTACCTGGTCTTATTAGACCTGGTCAGTACCTCTACCTGGTCTTATTAGACCTGGTCAGTACCTCTACCTGGTCTTATTAGACCTGGTCAGTACCTCTACCTGGTCTTATTAGACCTGGTCAGTACCTCTACCTGGTCTTATTAGACCTGGTCAGTACCTCTACCTGGTCTTATTAGACCTGGTCAGTACCTCTACCTGGTCTTATTAGACCTGGTCAGTACCTCTACCTGGTCTTATTAGACCTGGTCAGTACCTCTACCTGGTCTTATTAGACCTGGTCAGTACCTCTACCTGGTCTTATTAGACCTGGTCAGTACCTCTACCTGGTCTTATTAGACTGGTCAGTACCTCTACCTGGTCTTATTAGACCTGGTCAGTACCTCTACCTGGTCTTATTAGACCTGGTCAGTACCTCTACCTGGTCTTATTAGACCTGGTCAGTACCTCTACCTGGTCTTATTAGACCTGGTCAGTACCTCTACCTGGTCTTATTAGACCTGGTCAGTACCTCTACTGGTCTTATTAGACCTGGTCAGTACCTCTACCTGGTCTTATTAGACCTGGTCAGTACCTCTACCTGGTCTTATTAGACCTGGTCAGTACCTCTACCTGGTCTTATTAGACCTGGTCAGTACCTCTACCTGGTCTTATTAGACCTGGTCAGTACCTTTACCTGGTCTTATTAGACCTGATCAGTACCTCTACCTGGTCTTATTAGACCTGGTCAGTACCTCTACCTGGTCTTATTAGACCTGGTCAGTACCTCTACCTGGTCTTATTAGACCTGGTCAGTACCTCTACCTGGTCTCATCAGAGCAGGTCAGTACCTCTACTTGGTCTCATCAGAGCAGGTCAGTACCTCTACCTGGTCTCATCAGAGCAGGTCAGTGCCTCTACCAGGTCTTGTTAGACCTGGTCAGTACCTCTACCTGGTCTCATCAGAGCAGGTCAGTACCTCTACCTGGTCTTATTAGACCTGGTCAGTACCTCTACCTGGTCTTGTTAGACCTGGTCAGTACCTCTACCTGGTCTCATCAGAGCATGTCAGTACCTCTACCTGATCTCATTAGACCTGGTCAGTACCTCGACCTGGTCTCACTCCCTCCACCTTGGTGGTCTCATGTTGATAAAAAAAACTCTTGATCCTGGGAACTGGAGCTACTCTCCCTGAGATCAAGCCTTGCTCCCATGCCCCAGGCCCTGTATGACCAGTGGGTGTATTACTTCCCTTTAAATATAATTAATATAGTCTGATAATAACCTCAGAGAATTTTACACACCAGGATAACTGAAGAAAGTCAAGCCAGGTGGCTTATTTCCATTGGGCTTAGGAGCAGTGCTAGGATAAGTATGTGAACCTTGTATCCAAATCTTCAAAACAGTAAATAGACTAGATAACATCTTCATCTTGGAGTATAAGCAAAGTAACATTTATGAAGGGATTCAGGGGAAACCAGTTAGCCGGACTTGAGTCCTGGAGGTGGGAAATACGGTGCCTGCACTCTGAAGGAGGGGTGTTGATATGTTGCAGTTTTTTACCTGTAGTGTAGGCATGCCACTGGCAAGACAGTGATGGAGTGAATGATGATGATAAATGTTTCTTCTTTTACTGGTGGGAAATGGCTAGTGTGTTAATAAAAAAAAAATATCCATACCTATAATATCAAACCTGGGCAGCAAACTCCGAAACTTCCATACCCAGGTTAGAGATTACCTCACTGATAATTGTAATTACCCAAACTGTATTCCTATCCCCAACTAATTCTGTAGAGTGAACTTCAGTAATAAAGTCCTTTAAAGAACAAAACCAATGTACTGTACCACCATTTATATTCTATGAGAAAGCTCCTTGTGTGCTGTTACCTATAACTGTAACATTGTTCAACATATCTATAAAAGCCAAAGTTTTCCAGAACATAACAAAGTTAGTTGTACTGCCTAAGCTGCTAGTTTATTGTGTAGCTAGAATTCTGCCAAACCACAAAGGTAGTGACCTAACAAAAATCAACACCTGCACTCCAATTTCTAACTGACCATTGTTATCTAAAAAAAAAAATAATAATAAATGTATGTATTCATAGCTAACATAATATTTTTAACCATTGTTATTCTGGTTTCAGGGCAGGGAAAAAAGTACAAATGGTGTAATAAGAATAGTGATTGATGCAATCTATTCATCTCTAGAAAATAATAAATATCCAATCGGCCTCTATTAATCAAAGAAAAGTTTTTGATACAGTAGACCATAGCATCCTACTGCTATTTTCTTTTTCTTGTCACTGCCTTGGTGAGAGAGAGCAGTGTAGTAAGAACAGAATTCAAGGAAAGTTTTCTGAACACAGATTGTCAGTTAATAAAGCCTCCATTTTATAGTTAGCTTAGGTCTGCCTACCATAAGATAAACTTAAATTAAATTAGTATTATTTATCAATGAAATACATTGCATATACTATTTTGTGATGTACACACTGACTTTCATGGAATTATAGCAAAAATAAATATAAGCTCAGCATTTTTGTCAAAAAAAAAAAAAAAGTGAATTTATCAGGTTCTGGCTAAAAGTTAAGACTTTTATATACTACTGTATGTTTCATACTTATGCATATACTGTTCAGTATTCTATATTGCTGTCAGTTCTCATAACTGTTATTACAGCTAAATGCTAGTGCAAGGTTGGCACTGCAAAAGCAGATACTGACTTTATGCTTTAATGCCAGAGGTAGTGATTGAATGAGTGACAGTGAAAGGCCATTTTACACCTTGGTGGGAGGTGGCCAGTGTTTAAAAGAATTACCAAAGGCATTCAGAAATGTGCAATTAACTGAACAAAGGATCAGAATGAAAAATATATGATAACAAAAAGATTCTTTAATGAAATATTTTTAATAGTGAATATGTGGAATGCTTAAATAATGAATGTTTTATCTCATTTCAGCTCCCTATATCTTGGAACGGTTCTTTTGAAGTCGAGACATCAACAGAAGAAAATATGAAACCTTAGAGGACAAATTAATGTGTTCAATTTATGTTTAAAAAAAATAAATGTAAAGATCTTTTCAATAAAGATTATATTTAGTACCAATACTCTTTATCTTTCTTTACCTCACATCAGAAATCTAATTATTCTTGATAAAATAAGCATTGTTGAGCCTGGCTAAAGGCTTAATACAAGGTTATTCAAGGAGAGAAAGAGGTGCCTTAAAGATAGTGAAGGACTCTTGATTCTAGGAATTCCAGCTAACCTCTTCTTCATATCAAACCTAATTATCTCCCATTCCCCAGATGCTATATATATAACTATGGGTTAAGCCATTCCCCATAATATAATAAGGAACCATTAGCACAGGCTCCCTTATATAGATAAGATAAAGTTTAGTGCTTTGTTTTGATTATAATTATGTAGATCAAAGCTATGCTGTATGACCCTTGGAGGTTTAGTGCTTCATTTTTATTACAATAATATAGATCAGATCTGGCTAGTGTACTGCCATTCCCCAGACACTATATGACTTCTACAGGTGTACAACTTCCATATGAATATAATAATATTGTACCATACAAAATTTAAGGGAAAATTTGCTGTATATAAGAAAACTCTTGATTCTGATGAAAATTCTGTCATGATCAAAATGTCAGTGAGTCAAGAAACTTCTGTACTGCTGAGTTTAGTATTTTTTGTCTTTTTTTGTGAATATAATCCCCTCAAGGAAGGTTCCTTGATGCTAGTGAAGGGCTCTTGATCTATGAAGGTGGACTTGTGCTCTAGTTCCATGAATTGAGTCTGAGTGCCTTGCATTTTCCCAGGCACTGTATGACCCAGTGGCAGACCTACATTTTTGGGGCCCTGAGGCTTGAACTGTTATGGGGGCCCCTTCACAGCCCTTTTTCGTACAGCAGACCCAAAATTGTTAAACAATGTGGACTTAAGTCGTTTCTGTGGCCCCTCTGAGATAAGGTACCTTTTAAGGATTAAGGATTTTATTTCCTTGCATAGTTTACAATGTGTAATTACAATATTGATTTACTAAGTGCAAAGAAAGCCACTATCATGCCGAGGCATTTCGGGCAGCTTAAGCATTGCTAGTTTCGTAGTAAATCTGCCCCTGATATGACTCCTGTGGTTTTAGCTCTCCCCTGTGAATGCAATAATAATTTATAAACATAATAAAGTTCTGCAGAGTCATGCCTTGGGCAAAATGTTTATATATAAGAAAATTTCTGCCCTCTGAAAATACTGAAATATTTAAGGAAAAGATACATTTAATGCAGTGTATCTTATGATGCTGGTGAGATGTTCTTGATCCAAGGAAGTGAATCTATCCTTACCTTGGATCAAACTCGATTGCCTACAATTCCTCAGGCACTATAATCCATACAGGTTTAGCTCTGTCCCTAACATTATTATTATTATTATTATCGAAGCACTGCATGATCCTTGTGGGTTTAGTGCTTAGTTTTGATTTTAAGTATTTTATTATTTTTTTAATTATTATTATATAAAAATTTGATCACAGTTTACTTCTGCTGGGAAGTTTGGTGATAATTTATCCTTGACTGTGAGAAAATTGCTGATTTTTTTTTTTTTTTGAGGAGGTTCATATGCATTTTAGCAACTCGGTTATTTATTATGTAAATTATATAATACTAATGGGTTGTGCAGTGGACACTGATATTTTGGGCCTAGGGGAAAAGGACATTTTTTGCTTACCAAACAAAAAAAAATAAAAACTAACTCAGTCAAACCAAACCTAACTTAACCTAAATCAGGTTAAGTTGGATTATGATTTTTTTTTTTGTCTTGGCCTTGCCAAAATTTCCCTCCCATAGGCACAAAATATATCTCCGTTGCACAACCCAATGAAATGTAGTATTACCATAACCCATATTTTCGGAGCAGCTAGAGTAATTAACAACCAAAAAAAATCATTTATGCCGTCACGACTGGTTTATTTAAGTGTCATTCTTATATCTCATTTAATTAAATATGAATAACTAAATGGATCTTTAACAAGAGTGAATTAAATGTCCCTGAGAAAAACATCATCTGATGACAGGCATTAACATTTATTATTGACGGCCGAGACTTAATCTAATACTCTTTAGGCTAAAATAAAAGCATTCTGAACCTAAATTTTGCATTTGTTATAAACTTTGAGGGTTCTGATTCCCTTTATGCAGATGTAAACAAAGTTTTCAGTTCACTTATAGGTTGACAGCGCCGAGAGCACTTTTGCACTGCTTGCCAACTCACCTGGCAGTATTTTTGATACTACACGGTCATATTACTGGCCTTTACGCCGCCCCATCATGACCACCATGGCCTCACCGGCCTCTTACATTCACTGAACATCGTTGTAATTATTTTCTATTGAAGGTTAGCCGTGCAAAATCTTGAAATATAGATCAGCCAAAATTCTTTTTGCCCAGCTCTTGGGGTTAGATTTTAGTACGTGATGGGTCGTAGGTCATGAATTAGGACTTATATTGTGCCCTTCACACCCGTTATAGCAAGTGTCTTGATGACGGTGAGGTGGACTTAGTCCAAGGAATTGGAGATAACCTCCCTTAACTTGGATCAAACCTGATTGCCTCCCAATCTCTAGGAATTACATGACGCCTATGGGTTTAGCGCTTCCCCATAAGAAAGATGGCCATAACCGTAACCTTTGCATTAAAGGTAGTCTAGTGTAGTTACCTCCATTTGTTGTATTCATTTTGATTATAATAATAATAATAATCCATTTGTTGTATGTGCATTGATGCTGGTGAAGAGTTCATAATTCAGGGAAATTGAACTGTGCTTCGTTTCCTTGGATCAAAGCAGATTACCTCCCACACACTCCCCAGTACTGGGTCACCTTAATGCTGTGGTGGGTTTAGGTGGTTATGCCTAGGGATAGGGATAGGGAGTGGTTCTTGGGGTTGGTTCTTAGCGGTTGGTTCTTAGTCAAGCAAGCATTTCTTCAGAATGCTTGCTTGACTAAGAACCAACCATCTCTTCTGGCATGATCTTTATTATGAACAGGTTCAGTTTAATTACTATCAGGGACTGGATTATTATTATTATAATCAAGGGGAAGCGCTAAACCCGTAGGATTATACAGCGCCTGGGGGGGATGTGGAAGGCATTCAGGCTTAATTCGGGGAAGTGGAGCACAGATCCAATTACCTAAATCAAGAGCCCCTCGCCAACATCAAGGAACCTTCCCTGAGGGGATCAGGGACTGGAGAGGTCCTTGTTGTTTGTTCTGCCCACATTCTATAGATAAACTAGTCTGCTTAGATAGAGCTCTATAATGTTTTAATTAGGATCTCTTTCTGATTTATTTTCAGGGGCTGTTCCCCTCAAGGGAGGTTCCTTGACACTGGTGAGGGGCTCTTGATCTAGGGAATTGCATCTGTGCTCCTGTTCCCTGAATTGAGCCTGAATACCTTCCATCCCAATGCGCTACATAATCCTATGGGTTTAGTGCTCCCCCATGCTTATATATAATACTGCTAGATGTGTTGTTGGTGGCATTACATTGATACTTGCCCCAATGCCTCTCACTTTACTGGTTAAATTTTTGTATGGTAGATGCTTCCCACCTCCAGGGCTCAAGTCCTGGAGGTGAGAAATACAGTGCCTGCACTCTGAAGGAGGAGTGTTGATAATGTTGCAGTTTTTTAAATGTAGTGTAGGTGCACCTCTGGAAAGATAGCGATGGAGTGAATGATGATGAAAGTGTTTCTTCTTTTTAGGGTCACCCTGTCTTGGTGGGAAATGGCCGATGTGTTAATAAAAAAACATAATTCACTAAGTACCTAGATACTAATTTTATGTAGAGCTTTGTGCAGTAGTTTATTCATTAATTTAATATGAAAGTCATTTTAAGTTATTTTTTAATGGTCCCTTTGTCTAGCCTCATCATAGACAAAAAGACGTATGAAGTTTGTCATGTTTATACAGTCCTGGTACTTTATTATAGAAGATACATATTTCATTAATTGTATTTTGCATCAGGAGGCATTACACAGCAGAAAAGAATAAGCACCAAATTCCTACAGTGGAGAAAAATACAGGGAGGTCAGAGCTATGAAGCTTAAATTTCCTGTGGTGTTCTGAACCTAACCACAGATTCATAAGACAAAATCTACAAATTCCCACAAACATGAAACATTAAGGAATCAGTTCATTCACTTACCCAGATTTTGGTGATGGTGGTGCTTATTCTTTTCTGCCACACAATGTCTCGTATATCTTAAAAAATTAAACCTTTTTCACACTTTTCTCAGTTGCCCTAATGCTAGTAAACTATATGTTTAACGTTGTAAAAAAAACATACACTCATCATTGTTAAATATTTACATTGAAAACTAATTAAATTCCAAGCACTTCTGTGATCTCTCAATCACATTTTTGATGACAGAATAAAGAAAATTAAGCAATATGTGTCTCTCATTCAGAATCATAGTCATTTTACTTATAGAGCAGGTTGGTCAACTATAATCCAATAGACAAATGCTAGACTATATCTTGTTTTGCAGAAGTGGAGGTTTAGCCACATTTCATAAACTGTGGTTGTAAAACGAGTACAGTATAACTAAGACCAATACTGTGGCAATCATCATCATGACGGCTACATCTAGTGATGAAAAAGCGGCTAAGATGCTTGATGCCCTGCAAAATGACCTTAAATCACTATGTATGGAAACAAAAAAGAGATATCCACATATCAAAGATGTAAGTTAAAATTTTGTCCAAGTTTAATGCCCTTAAATTCTATAATTATGAATTTATATATTATTAAAGTACATTTCTGTCCTTGAAAGAATAAAGAATAATGTGCCAGAGTATATGCATGCAATAAGATCACTGTAAACAGGTGATATCACAGTATGCAAAACAACCACTGTAAAAATATAGTGAACTTCCAAGTACTTTTGTGATTTCTCACATTATCAAGGTCCTAGGGTAGGTCTTTGATAATGTGAGAAATCACAAAAAATGCATCAAAATGAGTGGTTACAAAATAGGTATTAACATAAAATTATTACAGAAAGTATACTTAGAGAAAATATTCAGAAACCAGTAAGTGAGCAATTTGCAACTAGCCCACAAATGTAAGCTGAACCTGGATGACTTTTCTATCCATCTTGGAACATTGTCATATGATTTGATGATGATTCAGGCCAGTCTGAAACACTGTATAGTTTTTTACACATTTTAATTTAGAGGCTAAGAACTGGTATCCTATATTACCTCATTTCAGAACCCAGCCAAATTAATCCGTAAACGGTCCAAACATATATATACGTTTTTTCAACATTTGAAAGTATGTAAAAAAAGTAGATCTTCTTTTTGTTTTTTTTACATTTGAAAATGTGTAAAAAACTTTGATCTACTTTTTTTTTTGTTATATTTGAAAATATGTAAAAAAACATAGATCTACTTTTGTAGCACTACACATGTGAACGTAGATCTGCTTGGACCGTTTACGAGTTAAAAGTATGCTACCACCCCATAGGATGTGGTGACTCACAGCAATCATCTAGCACCCACATTTCTGATTACTGCTAGGTAAACAGGGGCAGCAGCTGTAAGGAGACTGCACATATGTCTTGCCTAGCATGGTAATTTGATCCAGGTTCTTTTGGTTGTAAGCTGAAAGCTGTACCACTGAGCTTGAGTGAAGAAGTGTAGTCATTTGTTCAGGAGGGTGGTGAAGTGTTACATCGTATTTTGCTTATTCATTTAATATATCAGAAATTAAAAAAATACTCATATTAAGCAAATTTTACCATAATATTGAACTACTTATGTTTTAGAACTGTATGGCAGTGTGTGGTGTGAATATTATGCAGAGTTTGCTAGCTTGGAGATTAGGAGGTGCAGGGTTTCTAAAAAGTATTATCTAGAAGGCTGAAGAGGGATTGCTGAGGTGGTTCAGACATTTAGAGAAGATGGAACAAAATAGAATGACTGGAGGACATATAAATCTGTAGTGGGGAAGGTGGGGGAAGGGTCATCCTAGGAAAGGTTGTTGGGAGGAGGGATAAAGGAGGTTTTGTATGTGAGGGAGGGGGGGTTTAGACATCCAGCAAGTGTGTGTGAGTATGTTAGATAGGAATGAGTGGAGGCAAGTGGTTTTTATGACTTGACATGTTGTTGGAGTGTGAGCAAGGTAACATTTATGAAGAAATTCAGGGAAATTGATAAGCCAGACTTGAGTACTGGAGCTGGGAAGTACAGCCCCTAGACTGAAGGAGGGGTGGGGATATTTGCAGTTTTGAACTGTAGTATATATCAGCTTGCCCCTGGCAAGACGGTGATGGAGTGAGTGATGGAGAAAAATGTGTCTTCTTCTTTGGGTCACCTTACCTCAGTGGGAGACAGCCGATGTGTTAAAAAAATACAGTATACTGTATCTTAATTTTAATGAAATTATTTAAGCTCTTGCAAATGCTTAAAAACCTTGAGAGTAAGCATATTGTAAAAAATCAGTTTTATTTGTGGGTTAGTTATGATTTGTTCTAACTACAAAACTGTAAAATTAATATGTATGAAAAAGCCTAAGGGAAAATTTACACAACCTCTACTCAAGGATAGGTTTATAGAATCTTAATGTGCAGTAACACAATATTCTGACTCTAACTAAAAACTTTATGTACATTACACAAATTTCTACAGAATTTGTAAATATGAGTAATATAGTGTGGTATATGATTTTTAATCACAAGTTCCTCCTATTTAAATAAAAAATTTGTTTTTACATTTATTTTGCTTGATGCTCAGCACAGATTAAAATTTACTTCTTTATTTTTTAAGTCATGCGAAGAAGCTATCATCAAGGTGCGTGGGCATCAATGAACCCCCAGTCATCATTGTCACAGATCACCTCCCAGATACTCTATCCTCTTGTTCAAGCGGCAGAAACCAAAGATCCCAAGATTGTCAAGGTTGTGTATATATTATTTGAGTTCTTTTCGTTCTGATGCTCTGCGATTATGCAGTTTATTTAATAGTAGCACTGGCACTTTTTAGAAAATAATTATTTAGCCTTTGCACATAAATACACACATTTTACTAATTATTTTTTATGTATGTAGCTATCATTAGGGCTCATTCAGCGGCTGATAGTGGCAGATGTTGTGGATGCGAGCAGTGGAGAACACGTCGTAGAAACATTATGGATGCTTATGGAATCAGGTATTGAAGAACTGAAGGTACTACAGACTGTAACACTTCTCCTCACCACCAGCATTGTTATTCAGGGAACAACTCTTGCTAAGGTAAGGGCCATTAAAGAGTTACCATGCTGTCTAATGAAAGAAGGTTGTGGGTTATTGATTGAGACTAATTTACTGCAGTGAAAGCACTGAATACAAGTGTTCATAAGATTTTCTTGTAATTGAGAGTGCTAAAAATATTGAATAAAGATTTTCTTTTGTCAGGCTCTTGTTCTGTGTTTTCGCCTGCACTTCACGAAGGACGCCACAGTTGTTAATACTGCAAGTGCAACTGTCCGACAACTTGTTAGTGTTGTGTTTGAAAGAGTAGTGGCTGAAGATACAAAGCATAATCAAGAAGAAGGGTTGGTTCTCTCTCTCTCTCTCTCTCTCTCTCTCATAAAAGGCCTTCATTGTAATAAGTACTGTACATGACAGACATGCCAAGCCATGGCTCAGTGCGGCTTGTTTGCTCATTCAGTCATGCTCGTGAAACAATAGCCATATATGCATTCTAGTTTGGATATTGTCTGGTCTAGCCATATCGACCCTTCAAGAAAGATGCTTTCATGCTGATGAGGGGCTTTTAATCCATGGAAATAAACTTTTCCTTCCCTTCCCTGGATTGAACCTGAATACCTCCCATACCAAATGCTATATGACCTCTACAGGTTTAGCACTTTCCCCTGATTATAATTAATAATTGAATGAGCCACATTGAATAAGCAGACAAGTCACATGCAGCTCATTAGCTTTGGTTGGCCATGGCTGGTTTGTATCTTGATAAAAAGAGCATTCCTGAATTAATTTTTTTATTTATAGAGTAATTAGTGATACAAGATAAGTTTGGCAGGCTTGTGATAGTTTATACATCTGAACTCTGTTCTTTCTTATTTTGAAAGTTCTTTTGCATTCAGTTAGAACACATTAATATTTTTGTAATAATTGTACACAGTGTCTGTTAAGTGAGCAGTAACAAAAAAAGAACTAATACCATGGCCAGCAAATCAGTTATTTGTATTTCTTGTAATTGGAAAATTTTCATAAAATTTCCAATAAGATACCTTAATCACTCCATAACATTGTAAGCTTTGATCTATATCCTAAAGTCAGACAAGTACAAACGAAATGTTTGTATAATTTTTTTTTAATATTTTTATATTCTTATAAAAAAAATCTTATAAATTATCCACGGGGAAGCGGAACAGAATTTTTCCTCTGTGAGCCATGCGTGTCGTAAGAGGTGACTAAAATGCCAGGAGCAAGGGGCTAATAACCCCTTCTCCTGTTTACATTACTAAATTTAAAAAGAGAAACTTTCATTTTTCTTTTTAGGTCACTCTGCTTCAGTGGGATACAACCAGGTTGTTGAAAAAAAAAATTCTTATGAATAAATGAATGTGTATTTTTGCTCTGATTTTTGGGTACAGGGGTTTCATCTTTTCAGAGGTACTGAAGATGAAAGTGAGGAACATGTTAGCATGGAGGAGCTTAAGGTACTAAGTGCCAACCCTCCCAAGACACTGAGACCTGCTGCTGCTGATGCTTACTTAATGTTTCAGGTTGGTATAAGATCTTATGTATTGAGGGTATTTGCTTGGTACAAATTTCTCCTAACACAGGTCTTAAGTCATATCAGAATCTGCTAAGTGGAGAAGGTTACTTGCTGACTTGCCTGTCTAGTGCAAATTCATTTAAGAAGTCACAAAAATCTTAATAAAATGATTGTAAACAACTCGGAGAATGAACTGACCTGCCAGTTTTAGGACTCATTTGCCACAGATGCGACTCCTATTTATTCTCTGAGTTACTTCAAGAGATGTAAGTGGGAATCAGGCCATATCTCATTTACAGCATTATATGAGTATCACATTACAGTTTGAGAGACATTAGACTTAATATTTTATATGAAGTAGAGTACTGGAGGACCCCGCTTTTTGGCACTTCGCTTTACAGCAATTCGCTAATATGGACATTTCAAATTATGACCAAAATTCATTCACACAGCTCCCTCCCTGATTTGCTATTATATACCATGTAAAAAAAATCCTGTAGCAAGAGTACATAATGAAAATAAAAAACTGCGACCGTGTTTTTGGTTAAAACAGCGACTTTCCAGTGCATTTTTATGTGGTTTTTATGGTTATATTCTTGATTTCGTGATCTCATTTGATAGAGTGGATGATATTTTACAGAAATAAAGATGATTTTAATTGGTTTCTGAACTGAAAGTAGCTTGAAATTAAGCTCAAATTAACAGAAATGTTCGATTTTTGCCAATGTTCTAGAGTACACAAATGATGTCATTTGTCCAATATGCATCCAGATGGCCAGTCTAATATGCATTTAGGACTTCACTGACATTATTTATACAATTATTACAATAACACAGTAGTCTGCGTAACAGTAAATCTTCTATTTTTGTGTGAATAAAAATTCAAAATGGGAAGCAAGCATAATATAAGAGAGGCCGGAGAGTACAAAGGAAATGTTTTCTTTAGTGCCAGGAATGTCTACATTATTTGTTCTGGACTCTGTTTTTAAATTGGCAGTTTTTTTTAATTTTCTGTGAAATTGGCTAAATTACCAATTTCTGATAACTTTAATGGGTAGTTGAAATAGGTAAATAGGTGGTTTCTTGTATTCAATAGAATAGAAGAAATACTATTGAATTAGCTATGGTTTGATCAACCAATTTCATTGTACCAGTTGAAAATAGGTCTTAAAATGGGTGAAATTGCCTATGCGTAAATATCGCCTATACTACTAACTTTGCTAGAGCGTAATTTCATAAGTTTTCCTATCACATTTTGTACTTTTTGTTTCATTGCCTTTGGTAAAGATTCTCTGTCATTTCATAAGATTTTTTTTCTTTAAATTCTCCAACCTTGAGAGCAAGTTTCAAATCAAGGGTTCATCTACCCCATACCTCTTCAGCCTTATTATTTATGCTCTCAAAATCTATAGTACTACAATCTCTTGTTTAAACACCCACATCTCTTCACTATTTTTAGTTTAAAACATATGCACTGCAGCAACAAACCCCGTGACATTTAGTTAATGTTGCTGTCCCTGCCCTAGATAAATGCACTCCATCCCTAATATGCATATCATTCCTGCCACAGTAGTAGTCCTAGTTATCAATAAATGGTTCTGCAATGTTTTTAGAGCTTGTTCCACTCAACAATTAATGCTAATTGCTCTGAACTACCATTCATTGCTGTTATTACCCATAGTAAAATGCCATCCATTACAAGCATCCCTCTCTCCTTTATAATTTTGTCTATTGCTGTCCTATACTTAGTAAATAGCCTCCTTTGCTTGCCAACATTATTTCCTCCAGCACAGCAGCAGATAATAAGGTTGCTTCCATTACCAGCCATGATGTTTCCTGCTCATCCAACATTATCCTCTATCCAACCCAGGAAACCACACCTGCCTCCTATTCCTATTACAAGAAACCTTGCCCATAAATTTAATCTGAGAATCCCCCCTACTAAACATTCTTACCTTGACTGGTGGCTTTCAATGTGTCATTCTCAGTAGCTGAACTACTTTCATTTAGTAACACAGCTTAGAAACTGGTTGTATTGACAGCAGTTTCTTCAATCTTCTTCATCTTGTCTCCATTCCTTCTTGTAGACTAATTTCTATTCATTGTGGTAGTATCCTCTTCCTTATTCACAGGATGAATAATTTTCCCACTAAGAGGTTGTATCTCTTACTAGCTTCCTCCAGTTGTGCTTTCACCAGAAGGTAAACCTGTTTGAAACTTGGGGAAAACATTGTAAACACTTCAGTTGAACTAGCACTGAGAATCCACTAAGCATATCTTCACAGGACACAGATCAACTCACTACTAACACTGGAAAGACATCTAGAGAATGAGTGATGGTGACACTGTTTTCTTCGTTGGGTTCATCCTTAATAGGAATTGTGTTAAAAATATTTCAATTGCTGTTTTGCTTTTCCCATACGTTTGACTAATTTCATAGGAAATAAATGTTTTATCATATCTGTTCAACAAGTGAATATCCAACAGGACCTTGTGCAGTTAGTGAATGCAGATCAACCCTTGTGGCTTCTTGGTCTCACTGAAATGACCCGCACATTTGGTCTGGAGCTTCTGGAATCCGTCCTTACAACATTTCCGGCAGTTTTTTACAATGTAAGATATTTTGTGTTAGTAATGTGTTATTTTTCATGTTTATTATTATTTTGCCCTACTGTTATGCTGTCTTATAGTCTGCTTTATCCTCAGTGTCATTCACTTTCTTTGGAATTGAAATCTCTTATTACAATGAATTTTCATATTTATTTAAGTAATTTTTCATTGATATTCCTTTTATAGTGCTTATTCCTTCATTTTTTTTTACCCAAATCATCTTACATGTGTTGTTAAATGATGGGAAGTATTATGAGTGGTTCATCTTTGTCTTAGATTTCTACTATTAGGATTTCAACATTATTTTAGTTTGGGATTTTAACTTCTGTTGCTTTTTGTGTTTTTTTTTATCTGTATTGTAATTCCACCACACTCTTTGTTTTTCAATATTGAGTGCAGTATAGTAGCTTGTTTTTAATGCTACCTCCTCCTGTATATGGAACAGTGATTATGTGTACTGTTTCCTACAGTACACATAAGATAACAAGTTTAAGGTAGCCTCCCCTTCTGAAAAGGTTTTAAGTGTTGTGTAAGACTGTAGAAAGCTTGAAAAGAAAATTCTTCACAAAGTGATGGTATGAGATTAAAGCAGCCATATGATGAGATGAGGGACCATTAATTGTGAGACGTATTACGCGAGTGCAGTATAACTACGGTAAGTAGTGCATACTTTGCTGGACTGTAGTATTGATGTTACTGATTGTGAAGTTAGTGTGCAAGGTCAGGCATCACTATATATCTTGGACCCTCATTTTTTCCTATATTACTGTATTTACAGACTTTCCTCGTGACTGGCTTCCCGCCTCATGAAAATAGGAAGCAGGGTAGTGGCCAAGATGAAATAGAATAAATGAGACAAAAATAAATTTTTGAGTTTTTCTAATACTAGCATCATTTTTTATATATTTTTCTGTACAGTTTAATGTGAGTAAACCTGTTCCATTTTTTTTTACCATAGAATTTTGTAGATCACTTAGCATTTTCGTTTATATTTTAGAGTAATTTTTTAAAGGAATTCTTTATTACTGTCTGTTATGTGAATCCAACAGAAATCATTAGGTTAATGATTTCCTATATTTGTTTATCTTTTGTTTTATGAATTTTTTATGTTAAAAGCCAGGGATGAGTGAGTTGCCGAGAACATTTGGCCTAGAGCTCCTTGAATCAATCCTGACCCTGTACCCAACAGTGTTCTACAATGTGAGTGGCTCTTGCGCTGTAATGTGTGTCTGTATTTGTCTTGGTCCTTTGATGAGCACACTGTTATTGTTTGGCTTAAACACTTGTGAACTGTTTGATGTGAAGCTCATCTGTTTGGCTTAGACAACGCTCGGTCATCTCTTTTGCTTAAAGCCTATTTTTAATTTTGCATTTCACAGCATTACATGTTCTATATTTTAGTACATTGATCAAAACGAAGTTCAAGACTGTACGTTATATACTATATCGAAAATATTACAAGATATCCCAGTAAATGGAGAGAGAGAGAGAGAGAGAGATTGAAGGTGTTTTTTTCTTTTTGATTGAACCATGTTAACACTCCAGAACTAATTTGGAAGCACATACTCAAACCCCTCACTGTCTCATAGATGATTGACATCATGTTACCAGGCACCCAAGTGACAGAGGGTGTTAGGTAAATTGTACCTTTTCAACCCCACTCAAGGTTGATCTCGGTTCTGTTGTTTCAGTAGAAAAATTGGTTCCAATACTCTTTTAGAAATGTGAATGGACTCATACATAGGAGGCTGGAGTTTGGTTCCCTGCTTTTGATTTTCATATTATCATATGTCCATAATGCATACAAGTGGATAATCATGTGGGTTTCTGTGTATAAAGGGCATGTTTTATTATGAAGAGTAATATTAGGCCCATAACACGTTATTGCACAGTATATTAATATTGGATAAATTACAAGATTGTTCATACAGTATTGTTTTGAGGTCTTCAAATGTAAAATATGCAGTCACCTCTCAATCTTATAGCTGTTTATTAAATGGAATTGCAATTATTATGTCAAACGTGTGGTGGGTTCGCATTTATTTTGTCCAAATTGTTCAAGAAATGTGGATTTTTCATTTAGAAAATATTTCTCTTATGCCTAATATTTTTGTTTGCTTTGTATTAAAGTACTGGATTTGCAAATATATGTTCTGTTGACTTTTCTAATAAAGCAATAATAAATAGATGCTGTAAAAGTTCTGTTCTCTTGACTGGAACTTTGATTATCTGCCCAATACCCTGCCATCTATAGGTATGATAACCAAGTGATTATTGTATATACAAGTTACACACATTACAAGCATATGACCTCTTGTATTTACAGTTAACCCTTTGACTGTTTTGGCCGTATATATACGTCTTACAAGCCAGTGTTTCGGACATATGTATACTCAATAATTCTAGCTGCTTCAAATCAAGCAAGAGAAAGCTGGTAGGCCCACACGTGAGAGAAGGGGTCTGTGTGGTCAGTGTGCACTATATAAAAAAAAAATCCTGCAGCACGCAGTGCATAATGAGAAAAAAAAAACTCCTACCGTGTTTTTGGATTAAAACGCCGACTTTGAGGTGTATTTTTGTATAGTATTTATGGTTGTATTCTCGTTTTCTTGGTCTCATTTGATAGAATGGAAAACATCTTATAGAAATAGAGATAATTTTGATTAGTTTCATGATGAAAATGACCTTGAAATGGAGCTCAAAGTATCGGAAATGTTCAATTATTACCAATGTTCAAGAGTAAGCAAATTACGCCACACATCCAATACACATCAACTGGGGAGTCTAATATTCTTTCACTAGTGCACTGATATTATTTATACAATTTTTACAATAATGCAGTAGTCTGCATAACAGTAAATTATCTAGTTTTTGTGTGAATAAAAAATCAAAATAGAAAGTAAGAGTAATATAAAAGGGGCCTTGAGACATGATTAATGAACAGAGGATATGTTATTTTAGTGCCAAGAATGTCTGCATTGCTTATTCTGAATGCTATTTTGAAATTGGCATCTTTTCTAATTTGTGTGAAACTGGACAAATTGCCAATTTCTGACCACTTTATTGGGTAGTTGAAATCAGTAAATGGACAGTTTCTTGCACTCAATTGATAGACAAAATGGAGTTCTAAAGAAATAGTTATGAGTTTGGTTGATTGGAACAATGGAATTGGCCGAAAATAGGGCTCAAAGTTGGTGAAATCGCCGATGCGTGTATATCGCCAAGATCGCTAACTTCGCGGGAGTGTAATTCCATAAGTATAGTATTCGATCAAATTTCATACTTTTGGTGGCATTACCATCAGGAAAAGATTCTCTATCATTTCATAAGAAAAAAATCTTTTTTTTTTTTTTTCCAAAAATTTTTCGACATAGAATGACAGTTTCAGAAAGGAGGTTGCGACAGTCAACGGGTTAATCCGCCATATAACCAAAAGGAACTCTTGATTCATATTTTTTTTTTTTAACAAGTCGGCCGTCTCCCACTGAGGCAGGGTGACCCAAAAAAGAAAATCCCCAAAAAGAAAATACTTTCATCATTCAACACTTTCACCTCACTCACGCATAATCACTGTTTTTGCAGAGGTGCTCAGAACACAACAGTTTAGAAGCATATATCTATAAAGATACACAACATATGCCTCCAAACTGCTAATATCCCGAACCCCTCCTTTAGAGTGCAGGCATTGTACTTCCCATTTCCAGGACTCAAGTCAGGCTATATAAAAATAACCAGTTACCCTGAGTCCTTTCACTAAATATTACCCTGCTCACACTCCAACAGATCGTCAGGTCCTAAATACTATTCGTCTCCATTCATTCCTATCGAACACGCTCATGCATGCCTGCTAGAAGTCCAAGCCCCTCACCCACAAAACCTCCCTTACCCCTTCCTTCCAACCTTTTCGAGGATGACCCCTACCCCGCCTTCCTTTCCCTACAGATTTATACGCTCTCCATGTCATTCTACTTTGATCCATTCTCTCTAAATGACCAAACCACCTCAATAACCCCTCTTCAGCCCTCTGACTAATACATTTATTAACTCCACACCTCCTCCTAATTTCCACACTCCGAATTTTCTGCATAATATTTACACCACACATTGCCCTTAGACAGGACATCTCCACTGCCTCCAACCGCCTCCTCGCTGCTGCATTCACAACCCAAGCTTCACATCCATATAAGAGTGTTGGTACTACTATACTTTCAAACATTTCCTTCTTTGCCTCCATAAATAACGTTTTTTGTCTCCATGTATACCTCAACGCACCACTCGCCTTTTTTCCCTCATCAATTCTATGTGAAGTGTGGGTGATGAATGTTGCAGCGAGGAGAAGGCTGGAGGCAGTGGAGATGTCATGTCTGAGGGCAATGTGTGGTGTGAATATAATGCAGAGAATTCGTAGTTTGGAAGTTAGGAGGAGGTGCGGGATTACCAAAACTGTTGTCCAGAGGGCTGAGGAAGGGTTGTTGAGGTGGTTCGGACATGTAGAGAGAATGGAGCGAAACAGAATGACTTCAAGAGTGTATCAGTCTATAGTGGAAGGAAGGCGGGGTAGGGGTCGGCCTAGGAAAGGTTGGAGGGAGGGGGTAAAGGAGGTTTTGTGTGCGAGGGGCTTGGACTTCCAGCAGGCATGCGTGAGCGTGTTTGATAGGAGTGAATGGAGACAAATGGTTTTTAATACTTGACGTGCTGTTGGAGTGTGAGCAAAGTAACATTTATGAAGGGATTCAGGGAAACCGGCAGGCCGGACTTGAGTCCTGGAGATGGGAAGTACAGTGCCTGCACTCTGAAGGAGGGGTGTTAATGTTGCAGTTTAAAAACTGGAGTGTAAAGCACCCTTCTGGCAAGACAGTGATGGAGTGAATGATGGTGAAAGTTTTTCTTTTTCGGGCCACCCTGCCTTGGTGGGAATCGGCCAGTGTGATAATAAAAAAATAAAAAAAATTCTATGATTAACCTCATCCTTCATAAATCCATCCGCCGTCACGTCAACTCCCAAGTATCTGAAAACATTCACTTCTTCCATACTCCTCCTCCCCAATTTGATATCCAATTTTTCTTTATCTATATCATTTCATACCCTCATCACCTTACTCTTTTCTATGTTCACTTTCAACTTTCTACCCTTACACACACTTCCAAACTCATCCACTAACCTTTGCAATTTTTCTTTAGCATATCCCATGAGCACAGTATCATCAGCAAAAAGCAACTGTTTCAATTCCGATTTTGTATTTGATTTCCCATAATTTAATCCCACCCTCTCCCGAACCCCCTAGCATTTACTTCTTTTACAACCCCATCTATAAACAACCATGGTGACATTACACATCCCTGTCTAAGACCTACTTTTACTGGGAAGTAGTCTCCCTCTCTTCTACACACCCTAACCTGAGCCTCACTGTCCTCATAGAAACTCTTTACAGCATTTAGTAACTTACCACCTATTCCATATACTTGCAACATTTGCCACATTGCTCCCCTATCCACTCTGTCATTTTTTTTTTTTTTTTTATCACACTGGCCGATTCCCACCAAGGCAGGGTGGCCCTAAAAAGGAAAACTTTCACCATCATTCACTCCATCACTGTCTTGCCAGAAGGGTGCTTTACACTACAGTTTTTAAACTGCAACATTAACACACCTCCTTCAGAGTGCAGACACTCTACTTCCCATCTCCAGGACTCAAGTCCAGCCTGCCGGTTTCCCTGAACCCCTTCATAAATGTTACTTTGCTCACACTCCAACAGCACGTCAAGTATTAAAAACTATTTGTCTCCATTCACTCCTATCAAACACGCTCACGCATGCATGCTGGAAGTCCAAGCCCTTCGAACACAAAACCTCCTTTACCCCCTCCCTCCAACCTTTCCTAGGCTGACCCCTACCCCGCCTTCCTTCCACTACAGACTGATACACTCTTGAAGTCACTCTGTTTTGCTCCATTCTCTCTACATGTCCGAACCACCTCAACAACCCTTCCTCAGCCCTCTGGACAACAGTTTTGGTAATCCTGCACCTCCTCCTAACTTCCAAACGACGAATTCTCTGCATTATATTCACACCACACATTGCCCTCAGACATGACATCTCCACTGCCTCCAGCCTTCTCCTCGCTGCAACATTCATCACCCATGCTTCACACCCATATAAGAGCGTTGGTAAAACTATACTCTCATACATTCCCCTCTTTG